CTCGCCGCGCGTCCGCGCTGGGAATGCGCGCGCGAATGGGGAGCGACGAAAAACACGGGGGAGGCGAACGCGGAAAACGGAACAGCGCGGTGAATACTTAGGGACGAAGTTTGCAACCGCCTCGAAACTTTGCATCCGCAATGTGAACTGCGGCTGGAATTAGTGGCGAATGGCATCACGCCTGAGTCGTACACCTCGAACGGTGGTGGCGGTTTGGCGAGCGAGCGAGGTTTTTTTCACTCGCTGGCGGAGAATAATTCGAGCGGCTGACGAAGTATCGCGGACTTCTTCGCGGATGAGCTTTCCGCGTGACTTTTGAAAGATATTGAAAGCGTACAGAAGTTACTCGACATTCTACTCTTGAATCCTCTTAATAATTCCAACCGATAGACTATTTGTCTTTCCAAAGTAAAAAATGAGAACTTCTCTGTATTATGAAACATCGGAATGAATGCATCGATGAGTGTAAGTGAATAGATGCACGGCGCGACTTTGTAATATAAATAAATCTTCAAGCGTCGAAATATTTTACACTGAATCTAGAATATTCCAAATACTTGGAGTTAACGCATACTGAACAAAGAGTGTTCTAGAAAGTGTGCGACTTGATTTTCATTTCTTGTTTTATTGTGTTATGAATTTTATTTGTAATAAACAATATTTTCCTCTTTTTTCCTACATATAAGAATATAAAAAGCGAATGCTTTTATATGCATGCAAACTACAGCTCGTTACATGGACGTCGATTATACGTGGCGCTAATGTTGAAAGTATTATTATACTCTATTCTTAAAATCGTGAGTACTTCGAGTGCGCTTAACCCTTTCACCACATCATTACTGTGGTATTAATGGTATTTGTATAGGTTTTATTTTATAAAAGCACAGGAATAGATAATTGAATAAAATAAAAACAAATAGAAACGACATAGCTCGCAGTGTTCAGGTCTTTTCTCTTCTCAGGTCAACGCAACTCTCTCCAAATCTCTCGCCATCACTTAAAAATCGTTCTCTCCCTCACAAGCATTCTTCTTACTCACACTTCCAACAAATTCTCAAACACACCCCACTCTCACCACCACGCACTCATCATCCTCGCTTACGCATCCATCGGAAGAACCCACCAACCCTTGGGCCTGGTCTCCATGAGTCCCTTTCTCTTTTGTGGCCCTCAGAACACTCGTTGTCCCACTGTCTTAAAACTACGATACTACATATATTTATTAAATAAGTATTTAGCAATGTTCTGAAACAAGTCAAACATAATTCTTCGAAGATGTTTTCAATGAAAACCAGTTTTCTCAAATTAAAAAAAGAAACTGCTGCCTACGGGACAAAATGGGTAATGTCTTGAATAGAAACGTAAGAAGTACAGAGAGTACCGATTTCTTCCGAATAAAATCGTACATAATATCTCGTCGATTAAGGCTCGCGTGGCGATTCCTCGGACGCTTCTGTGTCTGTCACGGGCAGGGCTACAAAGTCGGCGCGCAAAAACTCGGTTCTTTGCTTTGAAAACAGGCCGTCCGCGTGGCCGCGCGACGCGACTGAAACGGGCAAGTTTTAATTAAAGGTCTCGGTCGTTTTTCAAAGAGTCTTCGCGTCTTCACGCTCGCGAGCTTTACGCGCGGCTGGCTTTAATTTGATACAGAACTTGCAGATCGCCAACTTCCTGACGGTGCTTTTTCAGGCTGTCTGATTAAAACGGTGTAACCCGCAGCGCGGCAATATAGCCTGACCAGTTGTCCTTCTGCGGCGGAGATGCCTGTCCGTTTGTCCACTTGTTGGATTTAGGCGGCGACCGCTGATATTACTTTTTTCACGACGCCCGCACACTTTCGCGGGAACAATGAAAATAACGGTGAACGCGAGCGTTTCTGAGTTATGGTCTTCTTGATTTCTTTATGTGTATTGTGTGAGCTGATTCGTTGTCGTAGCCTGTATTCTGCTCCAGTACTGTCTTCGTAGAAATATTAGTTGCTTAGTGTTTTTATTAACGTTAAGAATTCATTTCTTCTAGACAATCTTAACCTTTTGGACTCGAGAGATGACTGAGTTAGTAGTTGATTCGACGCAGGGAAATTATAAAGTTTAATATTTAGTATTCAAATTTGAGTAATGCATCATTATGTGAAATGTCAAATTAGTCTGGTTCCCTGATCTACGTGTGAATTATCATTCACTTGGTTTATGAAAATGTCGTCTACGTCTTATTAGAAAATGTTGAATATTTCTGATGAAGAACTTTCGCGTGCAAAGGGTTAACAGTTTCTTTATTATATTCACTGCAATCAAGGCTCGTTTAACTTGGCTGTATTAATCGTAAGTTACACTGTAGTTGATAAGAACAACGGAAATCTATGTTCGTTGATATTCAATAACACAATACACGATATACCATTCGTGGCACCCGTTGAATGCTTTTGTTAAAGAGGCTGCTGTATACAGAAAGTAGAACAGACCGACAATTGGTCAGTCGTAAGCACTGATGGAATCACGCCGCAGTAATATGTGTACAAAGTTACGGCTGTTCTTAAATTATTCTATCCCGATGCAGTGGCGATTTTAGCCTGCCAGTAGATTAAGTCCGTCAGTGTTCAGACATCGGCGCTGATGCAATTTAATGTACGTTACAGTGGCAGTATTCGGACATCGTCGGTAATGCGATTTCATGTACGTTACGGTGTCGGCACAAAGGTAATTGTTGGTATTAAACAGTACTAGATTACACGCAGGGGAACTATGGTACAGATAGCACTGTGCTATTATTAGTTGGGTTAAGATAATATAATTCGATGATTACGAGAATTTTCTGTAAAATTTCCACTCTCGTTCTGATTGTACTAACACCCAAAGTTAATTAACCTTACTAAACATATTACATATATATATATATATATATATATATATATATATATATAAATTAAGACTGTGCAATAAATTACTTGCTTTTATCAAGTAATTATCACCATAAACTATTCCAACATTTTATCAATACAATACGAATCTCAAAAATTGTTTCCGTATCAAAACTCAACTCTTTGCACTCTGACCCTCAGTCATCATTCGATTTGATATACCAAAATTGTAATGCCTTACACACAATATTAAACTCTGCATAATCCATAATCATGTGAAACATAGAAACAATAACTTTGTTTCTTCAATTATGTATGTCCTGTCATTCAGTCTAAAAGAATGTCACCTATAATTCATTGGAAAATGTTTTTTATTTTCTATTTCTATTTCTTAAAATAGCTACTCATTGATTTAATCATACACAGAAACCACTTCTACACGTACACCCACCAATAAAGTACAAGAAACACCAAACTCAAGGTCTACCGAACAATTCATCAAACCAAATTAATATACCTCACCCTACAATAATAAGCAATAAATATAATAATATCTCATCCGCTACCAACAATAAGTTCACCATTCGCAAGGAACTGGAATATATTTTTTTCGAGACGCGCCTCTTACGGAAACTCGGTTCCGCCAATTGAATTACCACTCTGCGATTCAGCGACCGTTCGCGACGGTGGCCCGGCGAATTAAGGGTAATGGAGACGCGATCTGGAATCGGTCCGTATAATTTTTCCAATTTGAATCTAATTCGCCGAGAGTGATGCGCGCGGTCGCGTCGCGGGGCGAAGCAGCCGTGGCGGCGGAACTTCCACGGCGCTCGGAATATTTTTTTCCGTTCCTTTATCGCGGCGGTTCGCCGTGCTGGCAATTACGTGCCATTTACGCGGCCGCCCAGGTGTCACGCGCCTGACGCGGCTTTTCCGCTGCCGTAGCTCTAGATCCGATCGGATCTGGCGCGCGCGCCGATCGACCGGATCCGGCCGCCGGTTTGTGCAAAACGGTCCCACGGCTACCGAAAATTTTCCGATTTTTTCTTCTCGCGCCGCGGAAAAATGCAAATGACCCATCCAACGCGGCGCCGCTAACGAAACGAGCGCTGGAAAAAAGCGCGGCAGCGGTTTAAAGTTTGTTAATTAATTATCAAAGCGTTTGTTGCGTCAACTGTTGGCAGCCATCGCGCGAGCATTACGCTTGTTCGCGCGGAGAGAATATTTTTCGAGGCTTTATTCAAGCTGCTTCTGTTGAAGTTATTGCGTTGCGCAGTTTGTTTTTAAACTGAGCATTGTTGTGCTTTTTACAATGTCCTTTCTCCAATGGTATGAAGCACTGCTCAGTGTTCGTTAGTATTGAGTAATTGTTATTGCTTCTGATAGGAGTATTGCTTCTATAGACGAGATCTCTATTGTTTCTCATTTAGTATACATTTGACAGCTGATACTTTATACTACTTATCCCATATACTGCTGAAATCCTGTTCGAAGCTGCTTCATACGAAATTCATTTATTTTCATTGCGTTCTATCATTTTGTGTATTACGTAATACCTTGAACCGTGGCCAGCTCATTCTATTAAATACGTCGGCCCCCTATATTAATTCATATTGCTTATCCCTACCTGGAGATTACTTAATCACTCGATCCAACCCCAACAAATTCACTCTGTCTGCAGAAACGTTCGCCCTCAACAATGATAAATAAACTGATAATTACGAAGAGTGGGTCTCCTGGGAGGAGACCAAGAATCTTACAGACATCGCCTCTGTTTGTCATAAGCAGAAACGGGGAACAATGGACGAACACATTATCCGCGTTCGCTCGGAATCCCTGCGAATGTTCTCTTCCCAGTTGTGAGCTATGAATGGTTGATTGTACGTGCGAGTGGGCGATGTCGTCTTGCGATTGGTTGGGGTTGGTAGGTTTGGAAAATAGAATGATTGCGTTTCGAGAAATCATGAGTAGCTGATGTAGCGCGAAAGAAGAGTGCTTGGAACTGACAACAATAATGAGAATAAGTCGATTAGCGCAGCGTGTATTTTAATCTATGAATTTAAGGGCCAAAGTGTACGTGAGAGGGATGCAAATGGAACGAAAGAAAGAACGAATGAGAAGATAAAGATTTGTAGAAATTTGGCAACGACCATTAGTGAGTATACTGTATTGGCAACCGGCACAGTAGAATTATCGTGAACATGGCAGAATTACGTAAAATGGTTTTAACCCTTTACAGACGAAGATTCTTCGAAACATACAGAACTTTCAACGTATGAAGCTAAATTATATACCAATTGCTTAATTAATAGAAAGAAAGAAAACCACGTGCTGATCACTTACTGTTCAACTAATTAGACCATTTTTCCACAGCTTAGTCTTTCAAATCTGCACACTTCATCTCACCGAAACGCCGACATCCTAGGTTAAACTCTATATATAAAATAATAATTTTCATTAAAACATTGCTCACTGAAAAGTACACACACTCCTCAGCCTCAACTCATCATTAACCGATAATTTAATTTACTTTCACAATACGTATCAAACTCTTTCCGCTAAATTAAATCGCGTATTCTCGTGTTCCCTTCGCCGAGGCACAGGACGGGATTTACGTCGGAGTAAAAACTCTGCACATTTCCTCGGAGAGCGGGGCTTTCCGCGCAACAAAAACTTTCTTGCGCATTTTTCACTTGATGGCGGCGACAGTTACAATGGGTCACGAATTAAGCGCACAAAGGGGTACACGAGAATAGGAGTGACGGGGGACGACGTCGAGGAAACACGGAGCCGCACGCGCGCCCGTCGTAAACGGGACGCGTCCATTGAACGGCGACCCGGCTCAGCCGTCAATTCCATCTTCCACCACGGCTCGGGGAGGAACTCCGCGAAATTACTGGACCTTGGATAAATTTTTCATCGGGGTGAGCGCCAAGCCATCGGGGATCCATGTATTTCCCATAGGGCCGCGACGTCCCTTTTACGGGCGGGCCGACTGGCTCCCGGTATAACAATGTGGCTTCAATATGATACCTTATACCCACGTTTAAGCCCCTGATAATAGAGAGCAGCCGGCATTGTCCCATTTACGGGAGATTTAACATAATATTTGCCATTGAAGACCTACTCGGCCCATTCAGACGCCCGTTAGGCTTCATCTCGGAGAAAGTGTTGCATTTCCTCCGATCCCTGTCCCTTGTACAGCCTTTTCTGCTACCCGCCGTTTGACGTCCTAAGTTCTGCCGCCTGGGAGCGCGGCAGGATTCGTTTCAGCCTGTAGCCTGGAAAATTGATTTTAGTACGTTTAAGAGTCAATTTTGACGCTTAGCAAGGATTGAGCCAGTCACTTTGATGAATGTACTCGGCGACTACAATGTCGCGTTGGCAACTTCGGTATCACTTTGGAAACTACGTATCGCTTTGGAAACTGTAATAGCACTTCGGAGAGTAGATTGCCGCCTTCGGAACTACAGTTGAAAATTCAGTAGAAAGAAACAGAAAGATCAATGAAGAATTGGGATTCGACTTTGGAAAGTAGGTTTTATCAACCGTGTTAACGCACGAACGCATTGCCACGTTCAGTCTGGACGTCGATCACTTTAACTTCACGTCTCGCTTCACGCAGGCGATATTAGCTGTTTAAACTCCGTCGGTGAATGTTCATAAATATGCCCCGACATTTCCCTCGCTTGTTTGCCGCTGATAAATAATTAATCGACGATCGTCCGGGATTAATTTCAATAATCATACCCAACGCAATTGCCCTCGGCAGAAACAATCGCCGCTGCGGAACGACCGCGTTAATCCGGCTGTTTCCTTCGGACTGGATATTTTCCGCTCGACTTTTCAGACGCATCGCTCGCGAACCTCGTATCCGGGGCCGTTAACTTCCGGCCGGGAATTAGTCGGGGCTTTAAGTGAAAATTTTCGAGAGGCATCGCGGCGCGGATCGTGATGGGAAACGGCGATGCGATCCGCCGCGTTTTCGGAGCTCGTTTCAGTTTCGCAACTGATAAAACAAATTCGTTCCCCCGGCCGAAATTTTCATACAAATTGCTCGGCCTCGTACCCGCGGCCTGGCCGAGGCCGTTACGGAAATATTCAATCGTAATGATCCCCGTGCCCGAGACGCGAGACAGGAAATTAAGCAACGTCGCCGCGAATAAGGGGGAAAAGAACGGGGACAACGGCGTGAAACCGCACAATTTCCTGTGGAAGCCGCTTCCCACGCCGCCGCGACTGAATTTCCTTTCTGGTCACATCTCGCCGGCTAACGAGTGACTACAATGAAGTTCGAGTGACGGTAATTATCAGCGCGTTACTTGGTAAACTTATCGCACCGTGGTGTTGTCTCGTCGAGCTTGAATGTTAACGATAATTGGTTGCGAAAGGAGGCAGCAATAGGACACGTTCTCTTTGGTTATTTAAAAATCTGTATGGATGTCGTCTAATATTGAAGATGTATTTACTATTAATAAGGAATGCACAAGATAAATGCTGAACTTGAGATGAAAAGAGTGAAATTTCATTTGGAAATTTTCTAACTGAGCTTCTAAAGATCCTTTGAATTTCTGGTGGACATTGTTTATGAGCGTAATTTATAATTTTTATATTTGTAACATGCAGGTCATAGTTGTAGAATGTTCTACTTGTATATGGCAATTGTTCTTCTGCATTTTAAATGAAGAAAACGTCTAAAATGCGGGGCAGGTACTATTCAGTAATACAAAACACGATATAGTGTCGAGAGTGATGTATCAAAAGCTTTTGTTAGATAAGTCGCTGTATTTTGCAAGTAGATTAAATCGACAGTTAGTCAGACTCAGACCTTAATACAATTATGCGATAATTCATGTTCAAAATTAATCGCTGATCTTAATTATTCTATATCAATGGAGAAGAGATTTTAGTCTAGCCGTAGGTTAGATCTGCAGCGTTCAGACATGAGTGCATAATTAGGGAATGCAATTTGATGTACGGTCCAGTGGCAGGTCAAAGGTAACTGTTGATGTTATATTACGCTAGATTAGATTCTGGTGGATCTACGGTCTAAGTGGTACGCTTTCGTCAATGAACGAACGTGCTTATTGAAACAACCGAACTCATCGATGAATCGAATTTTTGACTACAATGATTCCGATCACTAAACTCATCTTGATTAATTAGTTACAGTACTAAATAGCTCCACTAATCCAATACGATAGAAGAAATAATTGATCATATGTTTAAACCTAATTTAATAATATTCAATATCAATCATCAGTTTTTACTCTAAACAGTAGAAAGAATTTATTAAGTATTCCAGAAAGCGATTGATATTAAATATCATTAAATATTTCAATAATTCGATATCGCAATAATTCGATCAATGTTCAGATAAGCAGATTCAAATGATTCCAATTCGATATCGAGAGAAAGTTAAGCGCCGAGTAATCCGCACAATTATCATTTCCTTCTTTACCTTTGCGGGCAAAAGTGAGCGTCACGGGGGACCGTTAAAAAACTTCCCGAACGAAGTTAACTTACAAGAAAAAGAGATTTAAAGGAGACCCGCAGGGAGGTAATCTCGTAAAAAAGTGCCCGTGGAAAGAAGTATCGTTACAAGGGATGTTTTGAACGCGTTCACGTCGTCTTTGTGCCTCGGTCCGGCGTAGTTGCCTCGGCAGGCAAGGTCTCGGGAACACGGCTGACGCGAAAATGGCGGGTTAGATCGGGCCACGAGTTTCGCCGCGGAACGACTCCATCCATCCGTGTTTTCCCCCCACCTCGGCTTCATATCCAAGATATTGGACAAGTTCGGAACAGTCCTCCCTGCTTTGAGATCCTTTTTTGGAACCGCTGTCGCTGATATCCTCGCTTAGTCTCTTTCCCCCGCGTTCCTCTTTCTAACCGTCGAATTTGGAAACGACGAAACATATTGGCGTCACTGCGAAACGGAAGCTGAAACCGAAGTTTCTTTTGACGGAATATCCGGCGAGATCCAAGTCGGCATGCTGCGGGATGACTCAAGTGTAATTCACGCTAACGGTTGACTGTATGGTTAGTCACGATCAGTCTGTAATGAGGATTATCCTGAGGCATTCGCATGGAGAATCGCGGTATTTTTGTGTGAGGAGTTTGCATTTAATATGTGATCACTTGAAAGTTTGAGAGTTTGCTAATTTGAATGTTTCAATGTTTCGATGTCTGAAAGTTTGAATATTTGGAGATTTGGAAACGTAGAACTTGGGAAGTTTGAAAATTTGGAAATGTAGAACTTGGGAGTGTTTGGAAATTTGAAAAAACGTAGAACTTGGGATGTTTGAAAATTTGAAAAAACGTAGGACTTGGGAAATTTGAAAATTTGGAAACGTAGAACTTGGGAAGTTTGAAAATTTGGAAATGTAGAACTTGGGATGTTTGAAAATTTGAAAATGTAGAACTTAGGAGTGTTTGAAAATTTGAAAATGTAGAACTTGGGATGTTTGAAAATTTGAAAATGTAGAACTTGGGAAGTTTGAAAATTTGAATTGGTGTTCAGACCGAATTTAATCAACAGCAACGTAATATTTGTTCGCCACTAGACCGTCCCTACGACGAACTAGAGAACAAGATCACAATTTCACTTGACCGTACTACCAACTGTGAATGCTTCTGCTAAATTAAATTCTGCTTAATGCTTCTACATCGACAACAGTACAGTACCCTTGATCACTAGTGTGAATCAATCTCGAAGGAGCAGCGATCAACGACGAAAAGTGGATGAGATATCGTGAAATATCAGGTATATGGTAGCGTCAGCAACGCGGCGGAAGGTAAATGAGAATTTATGATGCATCGAAAACGGAAAGGAGGCTTTATTTCCGCGCGCGGCCTTCGAGCAGAACTTTTGATGGATCGAATCTGTTATTCATATTTCTGTTCCTCCGTTTTCCCTCGGCCGAGGAACATTACGCGTGGAAACTCGGCGTTTTGCTTTCGATCGTGTTTACGCGTTACACGTTACGGAAACGCGTTTCCGCGATGCATGAAATTTTCAGTGTTTTTCGTTGGTCCGCTTCCCGCTGCTCTTTCCGCGATTTATTTAGTCCTTCGATTGATTGTTCCACGAAGATCTGTGCGAGTTCGCTGCGTAACACGCTTAGCGACGCTTCCGCTTTATTATATAACCATTACAAAGTAACCGATAATGTGATAATAACGTAATATTTACGTTATTATGCAGTCTTCTGTTTCATGCCGCAATGACCACGTCATCTTTGCGTGCTCGAGCGGCGCATAAAGAAAAGAAAACAGAATGTTCATTTTATTTTTAATACGCTCCTAAGACTCGGGCAAACCTTCGTAAGAAGCGTGTAAAAAATTGATCGATCGACTCAAGGTGAAGCTGGGTTACACTTATAAAACAAGCTTTGAACTTTATAGTCTCGACTGGGTTTACAACAT